TTATGAAAGCTTAGGCTGTCGCGCAGTTTCTAAAGTTAGTCAGAAGCTAAGGAAGATCTATATTTAATTTATTGTAGCTTTTTTAATGACAAAAAATTCCCTGTGTGCATATTTTTTGTACTTTCGGCGAGATATAGCCGTTTAACACCTACATTTACGATGGAACATCACCTTATTCAAGCACTTTAAACTCTCCCCATTTAAAAATTAAGGGATCTTAAGTAATTTTATTCATATAGTCTTATAGCTCCTGAAAAACTAGAAAGTTTCTAAAAAAAAAACTATCACCTAAAATGAAGGAGCTATGCTTAAAAAACTGATCCAATTTTTTTTCGATGTTTTTTTTTATGTTTTCAAGTGTAGTTTTAACAAGGGTAGGTTGAAAGATTATGGAATTGTATCCTAAAAATGAAATAATATTTTTTTTACTATTTATAACCATATTTAGGTTTTTAATTTTATTTTATAATTTTTAATATTAATATTAATTTTTAGTTTTCACCCCTAAAAAACAAAAAGCGTACAACGGCACACGGCAACGGCAAACGGCACTTATTTCACCCTCTAGTTCATATAGAAAATGAACTAGAGGGTGAAATAAGCCTAATCTCAAATTTTTGTGCAAATCGGTGCTGGACGAAAAAATTGCGGGGTTTTACCATTTTTTTAGCTTCATTTCCTAGACTAAGTACATGGTTAATCTTAGAAAGTTGCTTTTCCTTGCAAACAATGAGTGATGCAAAAAAAATCATTACACTAGTTTACAGTGCATCTGTTGCCACTTAACTTTTTGCAACAGCAAACAGCCAGCAACAGCTGGCTACATATATTATGGTAGTTGCAAATATGAATGTAGTTTTTTTTTATCAGCACTAGTTTATGAGTTTCTGGTACTTGCGTTCAAGGAGGTCAAAATCAGAAATCAGAAATCAATATATCTTTATTCAAATTGGATGTATAAGTACAACTCTTTTGAATCGTCCAAAAATTTTTTTTCCCTACCACTCGTTATGGACATATTTTTTAGCTGCAGAGAAAAACGAGCGAAAAAAACTCCACAATACTAAAAGTCTAATGTAACAACATTTACAAATCAATATGTTGTTACAACGTCAATACAATTATGATTTATTTAATATAGAAAACCTGTTGGAATGATTGGAACAGTTCAAACCCAAGCATTTTTGTCTGTAATATAATCAGACACTTTGTAATAAGATTTTTTAATATGTGTTTTTTTTATGATATCTTTAAATTTATTTATGGCTAACTCTTGGATATTGTTTGGGACTTTATTGTATAAGCGAACACAAAGACCTTTAAATGAATTATTAATTTTGTGAAGCCTAGTAGCAGGTAAAGTTAGTTTATTTTTGTTTCTTGTATTAATTGTGTGAACATCACTGTTTTTAAGAAACAAATTAATATTTTTTCTTACAAGTAATAAATTTTCGTATATGTATTGTGATGCGACCGTCATTATTCCAAATTCTTTAAACTTATCTCTTAATGATTCTTTAACTTTAAGATTATAAATTGATCGAATAGCTCTCTTCTGCAGCACAAAAATAGTTTGAATGTCGGCGGCATTTCCCCACAATAAAATTCCGTACGACATTACACTATGGAAATAACTAAAGTACACTAATCTGGCCGTATCTACATCCGTTAACTGGCGTATCTTCATTACGGCATATGCTGCAGAGCTAAGTCTATTTGACAATTTATCAATATGTGGGCCCCATTGAAGCTTAGAATCTAAAGTTATCCCTAAGAATACTGTGGTGTCTACAAGGCCCACATTCCTATCCTTTACATTCACACTGGTTTTTATCTGTTTTACATTAGGTAATAGAAATTTCATACATTTCGTTTTTCCTTCATCAAGTAATAAATTGTTAACATTGAACCAGTGGACTACCTTAGAGATACAATTGTTCACGTCGTCAATAACTTTTTCATTGCGTTTGAGTTTAAATAAAAGTGATGTATCATCCGCAAACAATACTATCTCATGGTTATCTCTTACATAGTAAGGTAAGTCATTAATATAAATTAAAAATAAGAAAGGACCTAGGATTGAGCCCTGCGGAACACCCATCTTAACCGGCGAACCCGGAGACTTATTACCATTAATGTCAACCCTCTGAATCCTATCCCTCAGGTATGATGCAATAAGATCCAGATCAGTATCTCTAAATCCATAGTGGTGGAGGTCTTTTACAAGTTAAGTTTAATTTTGATTCCGAGAAACTTTTGTATCGAAAACCTGTTCATGCCCTTATACAAGCTCAATCATAGAATTCTTGATTCCTATATTTTAACTTTTTTCTATATTTAGATTTTTTCCTACGCTTACACACAATTACCGAGCTGGATTCCAAATTTCATCCTTCTAGGTCATCTGGAAGTAGGTACTATAAGTTAGTCAGTGCTAAAACTTACGACTTTTTGACCTTCATATCTTTATAAACGTCAAACGTTTAGCTAGCATCATTAAATTTGAACTTCAAAATGTTCTTATGGATATATTATAATAAAAAACACGTTTTTTTATGTGTTTACGTTAAAGAGGTTTTGTGTTATAGAAGGGTCAAAAGTGGCACCAAGTTGTTCGTGTAATATTACACTCAACGCTGGCTAGTCAGTTCCTTTGCTTGAACTTGGCTTGACACGCTGCCGCGTGTCTAGATAAAACTTTATATTATTTGCTTCGAATTTTGCAGATTTATACTTTATAATTACAAAACTATATATGTTTTATTATTATTATTTGTAAATTGCGATCAGTGTGTGCCACTATAAGCAAATGTGTTGAATAAACATTGGGGTGTAAGAGTGCGTCCTTCAGGAAGGACATCTCCTCTTTAAATCCCTTTAAAAGACGTCTTTCCTTTTGAGTTCTTTGTTATAACTCCGAGTCACAAGTTGTGTTGCTAGTATGTTCGGGTGAGTCTCCAGCCTAGCCCGGTATCTCTGAGTTGCAATGGCTATTTCTTCCTTAACTGTTGACATTTCCAGGTGTTCGTGAATTTCATTATTAGTGTTATACCATGGCACATCGCTAATAGTTTGAAGGATCATATTTTGGTAGCAGTACCCCAGATTTGTATGCCATAGGTCCATTGTGGTCTAAGGATAGTTTTGTATATCTTGACAATTTGCTGTTACCGCCCAATAGCCACAAAAGTCGCTTATAGCAGATGTTAAGTCCCTCTCTTTTTTTCTTTATACGTTCTCTCCAGTTTAGGCGCCTATCTATGTGTAACCCTAAGTAGCGTTTACAGTTTTGATAAGGAAAAGTGACATTTTCTAATTGTACTGGAGGACAATCGCCTTGTTTCAGTGTAAATGTGATGTGAACTGATTTTAACGAACTGGCTCTTATTCTCCAGTTTTGCAGCCATTTTGTAATCTCATCCAATCCTTGTTGTAAAAGTTTATTGCAATAATAGGATTTTTATGACTTGCAAGTTTGGCAGTGTCATCCACAAATGTAGCAGTTGTTATATTTTGCATTACAGGTAAGTCGGCTATATAGACAGTGTAAAATACCAGTCCGAGAACTGAGCCCTGTGGTACCACGCATATTTCATAAAAATTTGACGTTTCTCCTGATTCCTTAACTTGGAATATGCGTTCATTAATGAACTAAAAGAAATATGAAAAAAATTATTTAAAGATTTGGTGATAACTATGTAGCAGGCTGCATTTTAGTTTGGATAGTAGTCCCTTATGCCGGACCCTATTGAATGCCTGCTGAACATCCAAGAACACCGCTGAGAAATACTCCTTTTCCTCGAGAGTTTTTATGATGAGAAAATGAAGAGAGATGAGAAAGCTATTATGATAATTTTTTTTCATCATTTAATAAGAAGGAACTTTATCACAGTTTTATTGTAAGTACTTCGTATAGGATTATGATACTGTGAGTAGCCCATTTTTTCTTTTCCTCCTAGGTTTTTATCTACAATTATAAACACAAAAATTCATTAAAATTTCTTCTCCCACTATTCCCGCAGTCTACTCCTGCATAAGTACACCGCACACTATAACTTTGTCATCGTAGTAACTTTTTAAATATTTGGCAAAATGACATAGTGTAAAAGGCAAATTTTAATGTTCACTTACTTTGGGGCTAGGCTAAATTGGTGTGAGAGAAGGAAATGTTTATTTATTTATTATTGACTTTAAATATCATAAATGTTAAAAGTATTGATAAAAAATAATTTATTAATACCAAATGTGCATTTTGGAAATGGATATGAAATAATAATTTATTTTGTATTCACTGTTTAGCGATAATGACTTCCACATTAAAACAAAATATGCTGCCATGGACTTTATTGTAGAACTATTTAAGAGATACATTTTCACTATACATTATATTCATGTAAATTTTATTGTTTTTGCAGTGCAGGCCAAAATGGCTCACAAATGGAAGATTTTATGTGCCAAATATAACTTATAATAAATAAATAAAATAAATAAATATAATCAATAGGCCAAAATATAACAATAAGTTTTTAAATTTTGGCCTATTGGTTTCATTAGTTCGCTTATACAATGTCCCAAGCAATATCCAAGAGTTAACCAAAACTAAATTCAAAGATAGTATAAAAAAAGCACTTATTAAAAAAGCTTCAAAAATGCTTGGCTTTGAACTGTTCCAATCATTCCATCACATTGTAACAACATAATGATTTGTAAAGTTTGCTACATTATACTTTTAATGTTATGGAGTTTTTTTCAGCTAAAAATATGTCCAATAACAAGTGATAGGAAAAAAACTAATTTGGCGATTCAAAAGAGTTGTACTATACATCCAATTTGAATAAAGATATATTGATTTCTGATTGAAATATAGATGGAGATATCTGTTTTTTGGATACTTATACATGGGCATAAAAAAAAGGTATTTTACAACACATTGTTAACGATTTACAAAAAAATATGCAAGTAGATTATTAAATAATTCAATGATAAAATTATCATCTTACCTGATATTCCTACAACAAAAACTGCAAATGCTGTGATAAAACCATAAAACCAAAACACAATAACACTCGAAAACAAAGTTAAAGTTGATACAATCCACAACTTGTAGAGTATAATTCTGAGAATATGATACATGCCTTATCGTTCGTTAAATAGTATTTTTGACCTCAGATTAAATAAAAAAGTTTGACATGTTAATTTCATACAGCGGTAATTTGAGACTAACAAAATAAAAGGAACGTAACAGTAGGTACCTATACAATCTTTGAATTAAATGAAATTTAATTAAATATTAATCTGACGTGTAATGATCCATTTATCAACATCACGGCATGGAGAGATGGAGATATTCATAGTAAAAATTTAAACCAATTTTTTTTTTGTTAAATTCTCCCTATTCAGGGAAGGCAAGGGGAACAATGCCCATACAGCCTAGTCTTAAGTTAAATTATTCTGTTTTTTTTATATTAGAATGTCGGTGTAACGCATTCTAATGTTTCTTGAAGTGTTTGGCAAGAAATGTATCGAACTGGCTTTTTCGATAAGCTACTGTGAGGTAGTCAATACTACAATAAAATTCTCACGTCCACTTGACCGGAATAGCGTATATTTTGACGATTCTACTAATTCTTCAGTTACGCAGACAGTTGTAACACAAAATCACACCAATTTTATTTCACAATATCCACTATGAACGAATTTAAGAATAATTAAAATAAGACGCCAACCACACTCGATCAAATCCCGAAAAAAAACATTTAGACCAATTATGTACAGTGTTGCCAGATCCGATTTTTAAAAATCTGGAGGCGTTTTAGAAAAATACTGTAGATGTAGGGAAAGATCTACAAGAAAACCAATAGATTTGCCCCCCCCCCCCCCCCCCTAGAATTGGTAAATCAAATCAAGATACAACGACCGACCAGCAGTTTCTTAGACAATAATATTTTTAAAACAGGAGATCTCCTGTAGAATCTGGAGACCTGGCAACACTGATTATGTATGTGGCCATAGACCAGGAACAAAGGAACGGTACATTAGAAACTGACAAGAGGGCGAGCTCTTCATCCCTTTCCGTCACCCCCTTTCTCCTCGTCCGCCATCATGATGTCGGTCGTCGTTGAGGCTTAGACCAATGGAGATGGCATGGGCGGGCGAACCCCTCCGCCAAAGTATGTGGCCATCGGGCCATATGCGTTATATAAAGCTACTTCACGCGGGACCACTCAACATATATTTTATTGAGTAAAAGAAAAAATAAAGAGATACCACTTAATTTATAATTCCAATAATGTATTTATTAGTGTACTTCTTTCAGATCTAATTTTTTTTTATAATATTGCACTTTGTAACTTTTTCAGTGCTTAATTTGTAATGGTGACTGTCGTGGAAGTGTGAGGGTGAAAAAGTAACTTGATTGGTCTTCTAAATAATAAAGAATTATTAAACAGGTTTATTGGGCACACAATTGTCGGCCATGAACGGAACAAGTAAGTTAGTTATAAAGAAAAATGTTGCCACAGTGCAGATTATAATTAGGACTACTAAAAATACAAGTATGTTCAGAAACTTAATTTATATGTCGTTTATTCCTAACATTAACACCCTTCCTCGACTGTATTAATTAAGACTCTACTATTATAAACTATAATAAAGAAACACCATAAAAAAAAACTTTAGCCTTTTTAACAAAAAAATAATAACATTCTACCTGTATAATGAAGTCCTATATAATTACACAATCTTGTGAATATAATCTTACTTAAACCTTAAGTACACAAGTCTGCTAACTGTTGGTTGGATGGGATATATAACAAATCGAAACTTTGTTAAACCAAGTAACGAATTGGGGCCGACTTAATCTAGTCCAACTTAACCATACGAAGACACAAGTATGCGCGTTCACCGCAAAAAAATACCATTTGTCGTATCTCCTCTCTTTGAGAACACTCCTCTAACTGCCTCAGCTAGTATTGGAATTCTTGGCGTTAACATATCGAGCGACGTGCAGTTTCGGGATCATTTAGAGGGCAAGTCCAAATTGGCCTCTAAGAAGCTTGGTGTGCTCAATAGATCGAGAATGTACTTCACACCGGCCCACCGACTGCAACTTTATAAGGCACAGGTTCGGCCTCACATGGAGTACTGCTCTCATCTTTGGGCGGGGGCACCCCAGTACCAGCTTCTCCCTTTATATCGCATCCAGCGCCGAGCGGCTCGAATCGTCGACGACCAGGACCTTTCCGATTTTTTCGAAATTTCATCCCCATCATCTTAATGCGTGGCTATCCATAACCGTGCGTTTTTGTCGAAATTTTTTACCACGTACGACAAAATATATTGTCTCCAGCAGTGTTTCCGGACCAATACGACCCAAAACTTTCAAAAAAAGAGCGTACTCCTTCCTTAAAGGCCGGCATCGCATTTGTGATACTCCTGGTGTTGCAAGTGTCCATGGGCGACGGTGATCACTTACCATCAGGTGAGTCGTCTGCTCGTATGCCACCTATAACATAAAAAAAAATCAAACAAAAATCTTATTATTTACCTTATGCCTAACAAAATGAAATTTTAAATCAATATGCTTTAGGCGATGATATTGTTCTGGGTTTTGAGCAACATGAAGGGCGGACTGATTGTCTATGTAAACCAAAAAGCTATTGCAATCTAAACCTATTTCTTTTAACATTTCTCTAATCCAGCATCCTTCAGACACACATCTACCTAGAGCTACGTACTCAGACTCGGTTGATGAAAGTGCAACACGCTGTTGTTTGGAACTACTCCATGAAACTGTGCTCCCATAAACTTTAAAAATATACCCTGGCGTAGACTTTCTATCAGTTTTATCTCCTCCCCAATCTGCACCAGTATAGCCAATTATTGGTACATCACAATTTTTATAAATTAACTTATAGTCAATTGTACCTTTTATTTAACGAAGTAACCTCTTTAACGAGCTCCATAATTCAGTATTTCCATTAGATTGGAATCTAGCAAAATAACTCAATGTGAAACAAATATCTGGTCTTGGTCCAAGCTCTTCTATCATGTCTTCTTCACCTTCATGTACTGAACCTTCATGTTCTTCTATAGATTTATTTATGCATCTATCATAAGTTTTGGTTTCATCTCTTGCTTTATTTTGTATCTTCATTATTTTCCCTTCCTAAATCTGTATTTCTTTCCCCTTCTCTTATATCTTCTCTATCATTCTGTATTCTCACGTCTTCTATAATGTCTTTTTCTGTATGCATATTTATTTGCATTATCTGTAGTATTTTCTGTGTAGTCTATACATTTCTCTTTATTGATGAATATAATATCTCTGTATGTATTTACTTCATTACTTTCTGGAAACCAAACTCTGTAACTCTTTGTGTCGATGCCATAGCCAACAAATATTCCTCTTTTACTCTTAGCATCTTTTACACTTACGTCTCTTTTCTTTTGGTATATGTGTCCATGCTTCTGTTCCAAATACTCTTAAAAACTGTAAATCAAACTGTTTATTAAATATTAACTCATATGGTGTTTTTTCAGGTGTAGGTGATTTGCCTGTTCTATTGAAAGTGAATACTGCAGTGCTTAATGCTTCAGTCCACAGTTCCTTTGGAAGATTCTTTGCAAGAAGCAAAGTCCGTGTAGCTTCTGCCACCGTTCTCATTTCCCGTTCTACACGACTATTTTGTTCAGGGGTATAGGGTACTGTTCTCTGGTGCGTTATACCTTTGACCTTTAAAAAAACTGTAATATTTCTGTTAATAATTTCTGTTCCATTATCTAACCTAATACTTTTAATCTTAAAACCTGTTAAATTGCAAAATAATTATTAGAATTTTTTTATACATGCTGCTGTTTCCCTTTTGTTCTTAATGAAATATATCCATCTGTAATTACTATAGTCATCTTTCAATAATAAAAAGTATTGCGAACCCCCTATTGACTTGCACTCTATTTTTCTACTTAAATCTATATGCACTAACTCACCTGGTTTATTAGCTCTATTAATACTGCTTTGAAAAGGTAAAAGTTGCTATCCTTTAATACATGGAATACATTTATCAGTTTGCCCTTCATATTTAACATTATTGTTATTCAAAATATCCTTTACATATTTATAGTTTTGATGAGCAAGTCTCTCATGCCAGTCGGTTAAAGTAGAAGTCAAGGTTATATTAATATGAGACTGTTGATATTTAAATGCCATTAATATCTGTTTGCAATACAAGTAACCTCACCCTTAAATAATATTTGACAGTAATTCCGCTGTGAATTTATGTTATAACCTTTATCAATTACACATATGACTGAAAATAAATTTACTTTTAATTTTGGAACATACAAAACATCATACAAAATCGAAGATACATACTTATTACCATTATAAGCTAAAAGATTTATATTTCAAATACCACATACCTTTAATTTTTTCCCATCACCAATAGTTACATATTTTTCCTCAATATCTTTATATTCTACAAATGCATTTTTATCATTACACATGTGGTCACCAGCTCCTGTATCCATAATCCAGCTGTTTTTATCACAAACATTAGCAATGTATGCTTTAGGTGTACTAATTTTTGCAAAATCTACAATCATTATAGACATGACCAACTTTTCCACAGTAATTACACTTCCTTATTCTACAGTCTTTCATAAGATGACCAACTTTATTACAATTAAAACAATTAGCTTTTGAAATCTGTTGTTCCGGTGTCCTATTCTGTTGTTGTACTGTGTTCCTTATTTTACTTCTGTTTGTCACCAGTGCCGCTGTTGAGAAAGATTCCTGTCCTCTGTTTTTCATACGTTCCTCTTCGACTAATAATCTAGCTGTGAGACTTTTGAAGGTCTGTTCTGTTTCTGGTACACTCTCCCATGCCGATATAAAATGCTGGTAATCCTCTGGCAAAGTTACTAATATCTTTGTCTTCTTCTGAGAATAAGAATCTTCTCTGATATAATCTCATTTGAAGCTTTCAATTTGTTAACTAAATCCTCAACAAGTACTATATAATCTGACATAGGTTCTGAATACTGTAAATTATAAAATTTTCTTTGTAAAAGGTGAACACCTACCTTTGTCTTAGCCTCAAACATTGTGTTGAGTTCTTCCCACTTATCATATGCTGTTGAAAATGATAACAAATAATTCATGTCACTCTCTTCGACTCTTGTTAGTACAAGTATTTCTTGTGCCTTGCTGTCCTTGACATTGAAGTCCGACTTTGTTTTGAAATCTCTGTCTGTTA